TCACGTCATAGAGACGGACGATGTTTGGATGTTTGAGCGTCTAGAGTGCAGATGAGGAGTGGAGTTAGGAAATTGTGAAAAGACGCACTCTAAGAACCTCGATCTCGCGCTCTACTTTTGAGAGGCGAACGGCGTTGTCGACGTTGCCGCGTCGGATGAGTTTAACGGCAACCTCTTCGCCCCACTGGACGTGGATGCCAAGCTTGACTTTGCCGAACTCGCCCTCGCCGAGGGTCTGGAGCAGGAGATACGGGCCGAAGCGGGGGATTGTACGGCGGGGATGGGCGGCCATGTAGGCCTCGACGGCGGGGTGATGATAGACATCGGAGTACGGGGAACTTGCGTTGGAATCTTCTTGTTGTTGGGAGGAGGTGGCTACAGAGTGTGATGCCCGTTGCTGTCGGCGACCATTGGGCGACGCGGAGGCCGCGGGCGACGGATGGACCGCAACAGATACGGGCCGAGAAGCTGCCGCGGCCATTGTGTATGGTGGGGCGGGGACGTTCAGCGTCGCCTGGGCACTCTGCGAAGCCATTGTGGGTGTTGGCAGTCAAAAGCAACAACAGTCAACACCTCACAGACCGTGAGAACAATCCACCCAACACATGATCTTTTCCAAATCAGATGATCCTCATTTAGATCTCCCCCAACATCCTTCACTTTCCTCCTTCTAATTATACCACTATTGCCACCCTTGCACGTTGACAGCTCACGCTTGACCAAGTCCCCTCATATCATCAAGTCCTGAGCACCATTAAAAGCTTTCTAGCCCGAGTCTTACTCTTGGCTCTCTTGGCGATCCCATTGCCATCATTCTTCTTCGATCCGGCTGCAATTGCCCTCCATCCTTCCACAAAGCTTCCTGCTATCTATATACATACCCCCTACCCTACTCCAGTCAATCTCATCGTAGTCTATCTCACTAGACACCTAATATGCAAACTCGCGCAATTGTGGTCCATCGACCTCGTAAATGGGGTCTTGTATATATACAGTCACATTTCCGCGTTAGAATTCTACCGACCTTTACATCCCCTCGCTTGGAGTGCCTAGTGGGGACCGTTGGATATTGTCCATGCTGATGCCTCCCATGACTGGCTATTCACTGAACCAGACCATATTAAATGCATATTAAATGGCTGGCGTACTATTCAAATAACCTTCTCCCCTACACCGCCACACTACTGAAGCCCGTCACAATCCACACCCATCCGCTTCAGGTTAATCCTCTCTATCCAGCCAATGAGGTCCAAATTCAGAAACCCACGACCATAGAGATTTACAGACGATAGTTATCTATCTTTTTTAGAAACATTGGCAGGATAGAACGTGGAGGGATCCCCTAACCCTGCACCAAATTATGACAACGAAAGCATCTTCCAAAAAAGTGGAAAATACGACTCTCAGTAACATGAACACCAAACGTTCGTTCAAGATCCACAATGAGTAACACTATCCCACCAAGCTTCGATACGTCAACAAAACACACGATAGACGGTTGCTATATTTCTATCATTACCAGGTTCTTTCGGACGCACAACAACACGGGTCTATCTTAACAAGAGGAAGTTAACGCTACGCCGTTCATTATTACCGTTAATCCCACGTACTATTGTAGTCGGACCCAGCTTGGAGTCGTTAGAGAGTTGATAGTGACGGCGTCAATTGTACAAGGGAACAGCGACAACGGCAGGCCACGCAGAAGCAAACGGTTCGAACCAAAAAATTTCCCCAGCGAACCGCGTCGGAAGACACGATTGGTTCAAGATGGCTTCAACACCGCTTGACTTCTTCGTGAACAGACAACCTAATATAGGGAGTCGACAAGTACACTGGGAAGATGGGCCAATGGACGGGGTTGTAGCATCAAACTTCCCCAGGAACAATCGGAGATCTACCAGTCGGGTGAGGGCATATTCTGGCATCTTACATGGGGTTTTCCAGAATTAGCTGAACCCGAGGTCGGCTGAGGCGGTCTGGATCAGCCCATCAACCAACGATCTATTAGAGGTAATACTGAGTGATTCGAGGGAATCTCGGCGCGATGGGTGTTATAATCTCAGGAAGATGAGAATTACAGATCACACGCGGTCGAAGACGCAGGTACAGAACGAGATAGAAGGCCCCGAACTTGTCCTGCGACTATGGCTTGACACGGTACAAATCAGGTTCTGAAGGCCAGGGAGTTAAACAATTCGGCGGCGTCATAGTCCTGACCAAGATATGTGGATGGACGAAGAGATGTATCTGATGAACACTGACATGGTCGGGAGCATGATGCTCGACATGAGAGTGGCCCTGGCCGAATAATGGGAAACCAATTGTGACACTGTTGAGGGTTAAAAGTATTCTGGAACAGGAAATCAAACCCTTCACATGGAGGATTTTGAAACGAAATCAACAGTGGGCGGCTAAATGCGCCTTCCCGCAGTCGCGAGACGATATGAACAAGGCATGACGGCTCATTGTCTGATTCCCCTCTTCGACACCCATGGTCTCCAATTTCTCCCTGACGAGTACAAAGGACGGCGAAATAAAACTTGGTAGACGAGGGTAAGGATAAAAGGTTTTCAAGGTGGTGGTCCGAGGGGGGCAATCTCGTTTATGAGAGCAAAGGTATTAGATACTGACAAGAATTCTGAGCCGATGTAAAGATTTATAGGATAATCTTTAAAACGGGCAATAGATAAAGTCGGGTACCGGATTGTGGGGCGAGGTAAACCAGAGTGTATTTAAGAATGATGGTAATTATTGACCATATCCAAAGCACATCCCGCGTGGGCGATGCGCAATAGGACAGCTTTCAGAAATGGATGTCGATCTTTCTTATACGAGAGTCAATACATGAAGGCCTCCTCCATCAAGTGCCAGGGAATCCATTTCCGAAGGACGACCAATGAGTCTATGTCAATGATTCCGTCCAGAAATTGGGTTCAATTCATCTTGAAGAAAATATGCCCAAGGCTTCGATTCCTCTCACTCGAGACATTGTACTTGAGCTGAACACTTTAACAGTGCCTAGACTCGTCATTGCAACAGGGGGATACTACAGTATGAACAATCACGAGATGTTGGAATAACACCCAAGTCGCTCGTTAGTCTGTCCGCCTCATGTACCCATTTCCCATGGAAGGGATCGAATACCCGCAAGTCCAACCCCTCGGCCACAAACTCCCTCAATAACCGTTGCTGCGGCTGGCTCACTGGTAAAGAGCCTACAACCGGGTCATTCTCTACCACAACCAGTCCTTTGTGATAAAGGGAGCCTAGTTTCTCTCTCACCGCCTCATTCCAATGAGAAATTAATCCATGGAATATTTTAAGAGTGCCGGATAGGGGGTATGTGGGGCAGGGACCAGATGTAAGAGACTGAGGCGGAAGGCGAGATTCGATCATCTCAAAGAACCTATCAATGTCGCCATCGTGAACCATGAAATTAAGCTCCAAAATCTGGAGACTGGGGCACACTCCCGCTTGTATGCAGCACTGCTCCGCAGTTTCGCATCGCTCCTGGGCACACGAATGGAGAGCCAAGGCTCCCCAAAATGAAGAATCAACGAGAGCCGAATGGTCACTGCTGTGGCGCCATAGGGTTAAGGATTGGATGGTATTGCACTCAGGCAGGTGCAAAATTTCGAGATATTGAGACGGTTCGGTCGGCTCGAACGACAGCTCAAGGTGTTTGAGTTGACAGCCCGAGCGCTGTAGGAACATCATGAACTGGCTGTGTGGCCATTCGGAGTTGCTCATATTTGGGCTTTGACTCCGAGAAACGACAAGGTTTTGAAGGTTCGGAGCCGAAATGAGCCTGAAGAGCACTGCGAGCGCGATACCAGTTCCAATATGTGTGATAGCAAGAGTTTGGAGGTTGGAATGGGGAATATCACGAGTATCGGAGGGATCGGGCTCGGACTCCTCATTCTCGTAGAGCTGGGTGAAGGAAAGTTGCCGGAGTACAGGGATATTCCGAAGGACGGCCAAGCAGAAAGATAAGGTTATGGAATTCATCAGATGGAGTATTTCAAGTGTAGACCAACTGCCGACCAAGAGGGGGCCTTTCCCCAACCGTTGCTGGGTACAGAACGTAAAAGATTTGAGAGTGACTGAGGAGTTAACAATTTTTTCTAGGTGGAACAGATCGAGGTCTGGGATAGTAAAATAACCTGTTGACAGATGGTGAATCTCGAAACTCCTCATGTTCAACACAGTGAGCTGATCGGAGCCAAAATGATTATGGTGACCAAAAGTGCAGCCTTCCGAATAAGTGAGGGAGATGTGGGATATTTGGTGGCAGATTTGATTGATTAGCCTGAACGATGCATAGTCAGCAAGGAACTCCGTCCTGACATAAAGTCGTATTGGAGCCTTTTTGCTTCGATTGATACACAGATCCAGATATCGGGTGCCGGAAGCAACAGCAGCGGCCTGAAGCGAAAGGCGCTTGTCCGAAGTCAGCATGATCGTTGACCACAATCGGGGTATATCATGCGTCAGTTTATACCAACTCCAGCAGACTCGCGTGAGGAGAAATGGGGCATTATTTATGGATGGGCATTGATCTTCTTGTAAAGGCAGGCATAAGGTGAAGATCACTTCCATCACGTCTCGTGGAAGATGTCTCCAGGGAGCGTTCAAGGATCGAATTGCAGAGATTGTCCTGAGGTATTGCCGTTTTTCCAGGTCCAATTCTTTGTCTTTTTCCTCAAGCTTTAATAATTCCTCCCTGACCCTTCCAATATGGCTCTGTATCGTGCTCTGATGAGCACTGATATCTTGGTTTCTGCCTACGAGTTGAGCCATAGTATGCAAGAGTTTATGATCTGATGGGAGAGACTCCTGGTCGCTGCGTGTCATGTCATGAACCTCCTCAATAGTGTAGAGGTCATTAGGGAGGGTAGACATTGGAGGTAAAAAAAAATATGGTTCGGAGTGGTTCGAAGTGAAGTCAAAAGCGGTACCCACTAGTGATCTGACGCCTTGAGTAATCAAAAAATCCTAGTAGCCCACCGCGAGGGTCGAACTCGCAACCTTCAGATTTCTGTGCCGCCATGGGTGACTCTTAAGAGTCTGACGCTCTATCCGATTGAGCTAGGCGGGCACATGGAAAGTAGTGCTTATTAGATGTTATGTCTGTCTCAAGAGGTTCCACATCTCTCAAATGCTACTGACCATAGCAACTGTTCTCATCTATCCCAATACACTCTTTCACGGCGTTTCCTTTGCCTGACGCAGATTCCTTACAATTCTGAAAAATTATCACTTGGCGCCAATCTGTGAAGACGCCTGTTACAGCCGAACCTCTCGATCACGTCAAAACAGCCTCTCAGCGCTCAATACCTGACTTGACCATCCGAACATCTCGCTTGTACTCATCACACCCATCTGTTACTGAAATCCCTGTCTGCCGCCTACCGCATCTCCGTCCCCCCTGGATTGTCCCTTAATACCTTCCGGCTTCTCCACGCCCCAAGCCCCGGAGCTGCGTTGTCTGTGGGCCCCTCAAAACCCAACCCTAGCACCCCAGAATTCAAACACTACCGCACTATGGCCTCCATGCTCAGACCTTCTCTCCAGCTCCGCGTCTCCAACCTCGAATCCCACGCCCCGTCTTCAACTCTTAAACGACCATCTTTCGATATGACCACCTCACACCCCTCAACAACCGCCTCTCCTGCCAGTATCAGGAGTACACAGACCGACAGCACCATGGACAGCAGTCATACCACAGGATGTGCTATTGGCATCCACCGTGGTGCTATTGACAATACAACTATCACGACGAGGCCTCCAAGAGAGGTCATCACGAAAGTACGAGATGTTTTGGACTCGATTGGAGTTTGCGTGCAACCGGAGAGTACGTTCAAGTTTAGGTGTATCCGACCTTCGCAGTCGAGTAGTGAAAGTCAGCCGTCGGCCGAGGGTTTCGGTCCGGTAAGCGTTCTTGTGGCGTTAGGTGCACGTGGACCTAATTAGAATGGCCGGCTTTAGCAGAGTTCTTTAGATATCACGACAAACACCATTTACGCAAGCGACCCTTCTAGAGACCCAGCAGGCGAAGTTCGGTTTTCAGTGGAACTTACTCGCCTTGCGGGTCTGAACGACACATACAGTCTGGACATCCGGCGTCTCAAAGGGAACCTACGCAGTTATCAATTCCTCTATGAGACCATACGCGAGTGAGTCCTTCTGCCCTGTTGGATAGTGAAGAGCGTGCACTAACCTTGGATGTTCCACAGTCGTGCTCAGCTGACTGCGTAGCATGTTAATACATATGTCTCCCCTCCAGGGTTGTACCAATAGAATGACTGTGATTTTTCAAGTGACCCTTCCACACAAGACATGTCTGCGCTAGGTGTCTAGCTAGAGACCAAAAGAATGTGATAGTATAGTCTATGTCGCAATCACAATACCTCATGAAACAAAACAATGAATATTGTAGAATAGTATAAGTCCTCAACCCGATCTTTCGTCATCCATCGCCCAGCTACGGCCCGCAACTCTAAGCTTCAACCCCGCAAACTGAAACAGCTTGGATAACCGCATTCAATCCACACCTTCTCTACCGCCAGACGAACTAGCTCCGCTCACAATCGCAGCCTTCTCCTTCGGAATCTCATCTACGGGCGTAACGGGCGCAGTCGTATTTGGGGTACTGGGTGATTCAGAGCTGGGGCCAGTTACAGCCGCAATCGCAGTGGCCAACGACAACTGGGACACGTCTGACCTGACGCTACCAGTCGGACTGCTGTTCCCACTCTCATTCCCGTCGTCCTGGTCTTGACTGTCCTTCCAGAGACAGTTCTTGCCCTTGGAGTCGTCGTCCTCCGGTGTCATCAACTCTTCGTCCAGAGTATCCCTTATGGTGAGGAAACCATAGAACGTATTGCTTGGGTTCAGACACTCCAATCTCAAGGCTGGTGGTTCCACAGTTCCCGCATCATTGTCAACATTATCAGGGGCGAAGGGAGGCGGGGCAGGTGAGGGAGAAGCCATGTCAACATCGTTCTTAGTTGACAGGGGGGTCGTACTTATACCCAGAGCGGCATGTGGGAGCGAAGGAGAGCGCATAGAACCGGAGAGTGATAGTAAAAATGGATCAATAGGCATCATAGGGCTTCCGCTCCTAACAATGTTCAACCCAGTAAAGTCGAGATTCGGCGAGATGGACTGTGTCTTGTAACGAACGGACGACATGGTCGGATCAAGGCTACCATCTAGCGCACTAAGAACGGGGTCCGTCTCTTCCGTCTTGATATTAATAAATTCCTCGAAATCTGGCCTGAACAAGGGTGCGACATCAGGAATTCTGGGGTGTGTGCGACCAAGCGAAGGGTCATAGGGCAAAATCGGAGCAACGCGTTGATATTCGGTCCATCCAGCATGGGCATTCCTATAACTGAGGTTTTGGTATTGCCAACCGTCTGGGAGACCTTTGTAGAGAGAAACTTCGCGCATCATAGGGAAGCCGGGAAGAGGATTGTTGATCAGAAGGTCATTGTAGCGGCGAAGCTCGTCAATGGGTGTGGTATTGAGTTGGTCGGCTTTGAAAGTAAACTGAGAATGAGGGGTATGAATGGGTGTACTAGGTAACGAGTTCGAGAAAGCCTCCTGGCCCAGGTTATCCGACCCATCGACGTCATTGAAGTAATCTTTGAAGGAGGGTAAGGGTGACGTGGGCTCCTGTTTGATAGCGACATCCTCAAGGTGGATCTGGGCGGCCGGAACAGTAGGAGAACCGATGGAAGTCCCAAGGCGGGGGGATACGAAGCCAGTATCTGAGTGTCCGCACTTCTTGACAATGCACGTCGGACACGCCTTTATGAACTGCGCCACGAGATCCTTGGGCACCCAGGTATAATGCTTGCGAATAAGCGCACATGTCTTATCCCGCCCACCATGGTTCGTGCTCCCATGACAATAACATAGCAGATCATAGATCTGTTCGCGGACGGCGACCAAAAGACCGTCGTGTAGTAAGACCTCTTGTTCCATCTGCCTGGTCTGACCGTTGGTACCCAGGGAAGCTGAATGCGACTTGCTGAGCGTGAACATTTTGCGAACCCAGAACCTAAACTGTGCATTCTCCTTCACATTGTCAGTACTGTGTAGGACGTCCCAGATTCTGTCGAAGAGTGCTTGAGAAATAAGTGCCTTTCCCTGACGCCGGGGTGTGAGCGATTCGATGTATCCTCGTTCAATGATCTGATACTGGGCGCGTGTTGGGAACCCTGGTTCACCATCTGACTTGTTGACGTCAGGAGTCTGTGGGTATTCGCCATGGGTAGTTTCTCTGGTATCTTCCGCGCCTACAGACGAGCTGGATGGGGTACGGGTATATGGTTTCGAGGTGGCAGAGCCTCGTACAGACGGGCGTTCTGGAGACATAGACTTGGAAGCGAGTGGACTATAGGTTGATTAAGGGCTAGTAGTCTGTTGTGCGTTGGTCTGAGAAGAGACTATGGGAAAGGTTCGTGAGCTTATTGATAGGCTGGGGTATGATAGAAGAATGAGATGAATATGGGAGTGGCTGACCGGCGACACGATCTTATGAGACAGTCACAGCCACTTCCAAATCGTCAACTCATGCCTACAACAGCATCAGTCAGAATTCGAACACAACAGTATGCAAAGAAAATTCAATTGACTACCCACATATCATATACATGTGACGAGGATGAACCTTCGTCCCAAAGAATAGAGGAATAATGATAGGTCGAGAACATGAATCAATGAAACTACAACGACGATAGAATCAGGGACCTAGTACAAGCCATCATACACTATACACGTATCAAAGACTAATCGAACAAGATGAAACTATAGAAATATACGCAAATCAAATCAGCAACACGAAACAACCAGAGTTCGCAGGACACGTTCCAATCTTAAGGACCCTCAGGTTTTTTGCCGGGGGCGCCTTTGATTCCAGTAGTCAAGGTCTTGTGGATGAATGGCAAGACACCACCACCAGCGATCGTGGCGCGCACTAGAGTATCAAGCTCTTCGTCGCCCCGGATAGCGAGCTGAAGATGCCGTGGAGTAATACGCTTGACTCGGAGATCCTTAGAAGCGTTACCTGGTTACACAAAGGTCGGGAGATTAGTGGATTGTCCTTAACCTGATGGTGATTCAATGTCTTACCAGCCAGCTCCAGGACTTCAGCAGTGAGGTATTCGAGGATGGCAGAAGTGTATACAGCAGCCTTGGCGCCGATACGAACGTTGTGTTGTGTCCTCTGTTTTAAGTAACGATGGATACGACCAACAGGAAACTATCGTCGACGTCAGAGACAATAGAGTCAGACATAATTCAGAAATACCTGAAGTCCCGCACGGGCACTTCTCGTTTGGATGGTCCGCTGCTGCTGGGATGCAGCGGCATCGTTGGCAGCATTGCTCGCTCTCGCTTTTCCGCCGGAGATCGCTTTCGGAGGCATTGGGAATCCCAATCACTAAAGAACAAGGAGATAGCGGTGCCTGATGGCCGTACAACGGTTATTTTTCGGATTGTGCGCGAAGAGCTTATTCAACATACCTAGAACCCGAGGAAAAAATCGGGCACAAATGAGACGCGTCTTCTAGGACGGAAAAACGAATGTGATAAGGCTGCCGGTCGGTAGGCACAGGTTATACGGCGCAAACGCGAAAGTGGCAGCCGGTCGTGGTGGTCCTAAAGAAAGAAGGTCGTGTTGCTGATTGTTTATTGAGTTCTCACGTACCCCAATTCAACGCGTGTGTTACAGGGTCACATGCAACGTCACAGGGTCTATTCTCAGACTACTTCATATCTCACCTTGGCAGATTTCATCCTCATGTTTGTGTGCAGCTCTTGACCCTTTTAGGCACTCGGTCCTCATGGAACGCACGAAGAAGCATGTAACAAATGTAATTTTATATCACTTACGAATGTATTGTAGTCACTTACCCTGGGAAGCAAACAAAATTGCTTGGATGAGGATAACGATAGTAAAGAATGAATGATGAGACGTGTAGGGATAACTGGAACACCTTTCTTTCGGAATTGGGGTTATATTATCCTTATTCTCTCGTATGCTACTCACTCCACTCTTAAACCCCTCTCTTGTTCCTCCTCACCTAC